CTCTTATTTGTGCAGACTGGTTTTAACTTCTTGCTGAAAGTGGCATGAAAAAAACATGTTAGAGGCTTACTGGTTGCTGGAGGGTGGGCTGCTCTGTGGGAGAAAGAGGAAAAAGAAGCTAAATGTTCAGATTTAATTCTGGTTACAGAACTTGGTCAGAGGAAAACAACAGCCTTGATTTAGATATTTATTCCCATCCCTATTAAATTTGTTTCTCTATTGCATTCAGAAAGTGATCTAGTTATCATAGTCCTGATCTTAAATGAACGCCTTCACATATCTTTATGGGAAAGGAGTCGAGAGTGCAACAGTAAACAAAGTAGCTGCTTGGTTTCGAATGCGATTTCAAACACAAAATAACTTTCTTTCCATGACTGAAAAAAAAACAGGAATGGTTCATTCAGATAGATTCTCCCTTTTTCCAGTTAGACAGACTCAGTGAGCATTAAACTATCACAAAGGTGGATATCACAAGTATATTAGAGGCTTATAACAGGAGGTTATGGCTTTATATATTTAAAGAGTCCTTTAAAATTAAAATATTGCTTTGTTTAGGTGAGGTACTGATACATCTGTTTCCTTGAACAATACATTTTTTACATTTAGATTTCACATGAAATTCCTTATTGCAGTGTTTTCATCAGTCTCCTTTTTCTATTCGTTTCCTCTGCAATATAGCTTTTGCCTAAACACATCTTCGTATCTCACAAACAGTATCTTTTTAAACATTTGTCTACTGACAGAACACAAGAGAGGAAGCTTAGGCTAGACATGAGAGGGCATAGGGAACCAAACTGCAGACTTTCGGTACCTAAAGGGAAAGTTATAGAGAATGTAGAGCCAAGCCCTTCTTAGGCTCAGCAAAAGGACATGAGACAAAGGTCACAGTTGCTTTGACCAGACAGAACGACCAAATTCTTCCTGGTAAGAGTGGGTCAGTGCTGGAAGAGACCGCCCAGAGAGAGACTGGGGAAGCTCTGTCCCTGCAGATTTCAGAAGTCAGCCGGGCAAACCCATCTGCAACCTGATCTGGCTTTGAAGCTAGTCCTGCTCTCAGCAGGGTGTGACTTCCAGGCGTCTCTTCTAATCCTAAAGTTCCATCCTTCCTCAAAATGGTACTTAAAATACTTAATTTTTTTTTTATGAGGACAATTCAATCTTCAGAATACTTAACAGTCAGTATTCATTAGTTAGCACAGCTCCTGAGAACTGATGGCAGATACACAAAGTTTTCAATTTCTAACATTTATACTTAAGCGTATTTCTTTGCCAAATTTGCATGAGCAATTCTTCCTTTGAACACAGAGTATTTTGCTATATGTTCTTTAAGATTAATACTTCAGAGAAAGTCACGGAGTATTTCCAAACTTTCACCATTACACTCCTCTGGACAAAAATGCCAGTGTACTCCAAATACTGTCAATTAATTGCAGCATTTCATACAGAAGTATAAAGAGCTCTATTTACCTTAACTAATAGCCCAATTCTGCAAATATTTACCTTTGTATATGAGCAGTTAGTTCCATTCATTGTAGTGAATTATTCACCTTCTGTCCTAGTGGAAACCTTAGAAAAGTATTTGAGAATTTGCTTTTGTTGTTTCAGAAAATTACAGAAGTATTAGCTCACACTCAATGCATTATTCATTTCAACCCAATCATGTGCTATTCCCTTGTGCTCTATGTGAATCTGAGCTTACTTTTGTAGATGAACAACTTCAGAAATATCTTAACTAAATTTTATTCTTCTCAGACAAGTTCTTCCAATTCATCAGTATGGATATTATTCTTCAAAATGCTTGTGTTTGTGTCTAGCTTTGTTTCAATCATCAAATACATCAATCTGTGGTTCAAAACACTAAGAAGTACTTAGTTTTCACAGCTAGGCCCATACTGCTTCTCTGATGTGTCAAAAATCAAGCAAGTGTTGATAAAGATACTGAAAAAATAAATACGTCTAAGGATTTCTGAGTATATTTGTAGCTAGCTGTGTGTTAGCGTTCAGATGCATTCTTATTTCACAGAATCAAAGAATTGTATGGGTTGGAATCGAGCCCAGGAGATGACCTAGTCCAACCCCCTGCTAAAGCAGGTTCCCTACAGCAGGTTACACAGGAAAGTGCCCCGATGGGTTTCGAGCATCTCCAGAGAAGGAGACTCCAAAACCGATTTGGGCAACTTGTTCCAGTGCTCTGTCACACTTACAGTAAAACGTTTTTCTTCGTGGTTTCTATGGAACTTCTTATGTTCCAGTTTATGCCTATTGTCCCTTATTCTGTTTCTGGGCACCACTGAAAAGAGCATGGCTCAGTCCGCTTGACTCTCACACATTAGATATTTATGAGCACTGATAAGATCCCTCCTCAGTCTTCTCCAGGCTGAACAGCACCAGGTCTCTCAGCCCCTCTTCATATAGGAGATGCTCCAGATCCCTCATCATCTTTGTGGCCTTCAAGTAAAATGACTATATACAACTCATGGTATAGAAAATGGCTGATGATGGCTTCGCAAAATCTACCAAATATAATCTATCTGCTAATGTAATCCATTAGTTAAGCATATGTTTTAAGAGCATACGCTTCAGAACAGATGCTCAAGGGTGAAACCATTTTCATTTATTACATGAATACATACACACAATGAATACGGGGTGTCCTCTGTTTAAAGGGTACCTAAAACCATTGTTTGGTTTTGGTTTTGGTTAAAACATTTGGTTAAAACACCCTTTCCATTTGCTAAACAAAACTATAATAGCTATGATGTATCATTTTTTACAGTACTGAGTTTATGTTGTGTTACATGACCAATATATCTGACATGCTGAAACCTGTGAGGAATCTCATTTTTTTCCTCATAGTGGGCCTGCAAAAATGCAGGAAAAAAAAAAAACACATACAATCAGGATTTTTCTGCTGTGTATCTTCTATCCATTTTGCTGGAAGCTATTACAAACTTACCCTGAAAAGCAAAAATCTGGTCCCTACCCTTCAGTACCAAACTAGCTATATGAGAAAAATTCTGCTAGCAACATAATAGTAAGGGTTTCTGAACTTGCCCCCCACATCTGTTTATGTAGATATTGACTGCAACACTGCAATCCTGTATGATCAATGTGACTAGTAATATATGTTCCCACCTTTATTATCTCCTGAATTTGAAAAACAAAGTTAAGACTCAGTTTGGAAATGTTGGAGATGATCCAGTCATATGGGGCACCACAGAAGTTAAACTCATTGTGTCACATATTCCATGGCCCACACAATTCTAATAAATTCCAGTCAGATTGTAGCTTGATTAACTTTACTCAGAAAGCAGAGGCCTTTATTTGAATGGTAAAGCATGAGAAGTGGGAGGAGTGCCCTGTTCTCACCTGCTCATAGCAGATAAGAAGATCTGACTTGCTGAGTGTTTCTCCTAGGATAATGTGGCTAAGATTTTCTCTGGAAGGTTCATCCTTTTTCACTTCATCCATGGAAGGTTGACACCACAGACCATTTCATAGCCCAGAGAAGGGTGTTTGCATGGTGAGAGTTGGGTATGACACCTAATGAAAGCAGCCAGGATGTGCAGTGCTAGTTCCATCCTGCTGGAACTTTAAGGCAGATTTACCTGTGCTTGCTTTATCTCACTCCTCCTAGTAGTCTTTGCTCCTTTTATTCAGAAAGTGCTTGTGCTTCAGCTTTTTCTTTCTCACTAGCTCCAGTGTATGTCAGGAAGCCCTATGTATTGAGGAAAAGATTCTCTCATCCTGTAATATATGAACATACTGATTAGTGTGTGTATATAGCACACACACACACAAATAGTATACTGCAGAGAGAAACTAAAAGCTACACGTAAGCTGGAATACAACATCTACATATTCATTATTGAAATTAATCTGCAAATATGAGAAGAAATGTTGTTAAATGTCTTACTACCCTATTGATTTTAATACTTCTATATATCTGATACAAATGGCAGGTGGGGCCTTAAAATTAGTCGGCACACTCCCAGCTTTCCCAGCTGGATCAACACTGTAGTTCAATGCTTGGTGTTGCCTGGGAACTTGTTGAGGACACCCTCCCCCTTGCCATTGAGGACATCAACCAAAATACTGCGCAATGTTGACCCCACTGCCAGTTCTTGGGGGACAAATATCCCTTGTAACGACCCAACAAAGCATTATGTCAGCCTCCATGAGGACTTGGCTAAAAGCGTTCCCAGGGACTGATATAAGGAGGACAGATTTTTTGTTCCCTAGATGTTTGATTGGACACAACTTTTTTTTTTTTCAAGGTCACCTGAAGCTCTGCTGCATTTAATATGAGAGAAATTCATTTTGTGAAATCAAAGTCAATGCCAACACAACCAGAGACAGCCTGATAATGCTGTAACCTGGGGCTGATCTCTCCAGCCCTGCGGGTGTACACAGGCTCTGAGAGAAGCTCAAGATTTTGTTACAGACAGAGACGCACAGTTTACCAAGCCACAGACAAAACACAACGTTTGCAATACCTTAAATGTCTTCCAAAACCCTTCTAAAATCCATGCAAAAGCATTATAATTCGCTATGCACTGTCAATAAGCCTAATAAATAGGGGCAGTAGCAGTCAGCTTTCCTATCTTCCTCCCACACTACCGGCTCCAGCTCCTGTCTTCACAACCTCCCCGCTAACTTCTCTGCCCCTGTCAGTTTGGCAGGGTCTGTGAAAAGAAGATAATTGCTGCTTCAATCTTCAGCTCTGGGCTGAGAAGAGGGTTTGAAATACTGTGTGGCCTGGAAAGAAAATAAGATACTGAATGAGAAGACTTATGGAAGGAGGTTTTATAAGGAATAAAATGCTGTTCCTCTCTTTCTTGCCTTTTAGCATATGAAAGAATGAATTCATACACTTTATACCCAGAGGCTGCATTTTAACCACTTGTAAGTATCTAACTTTCTCAAAACACCATGGTGTAAGCATTGTAATGCTTAGCCTGAGAATGCTGCTGAGCTGAATAAATCCGTGGTGAACTGCTATGAACGCCAGAGCACAGGTGTGGGCCCACCTGCTGTACAGGTCCTGCAGGAAATATGAAACAAATAAAGCTTCCCAGATGACAACAGTGAGTATGTCCCTCTGGCACCTGTGGTGTGGAGAGGCAGGATGGGTGCCACGACGGCTGGCCTCCAGCCATGGTCCCTGCACATGTCAGCATCAGTGGGCACGGCTTGACAGGGCCACGACGGGGAGGACCGGCCGCACGTCCTCTATATCCCTCTCTAGCCTTTGTGTTCGGGCTGCAGGATCTCCAGGTGCTTTTAGTAAGATCCCGGCCTGCCCTAACTCCCCTGGCGGCGGGACCGCTCCTCGCTCGGGGCCGGCCAGGGGCGCTGATCTGGAGCGGACGGCAGGTCGTACTTCTCGCGGCGGCCTGGCGGGGGCGCTGCGAGCCCGGCATTGCGGGCGGAGTGCGGTGGGGCCGTGCGGCGCCTCCGCCGGCCGCGGGCAGCCCCGGGTCGGTATAGCGGGGGCAGCGCCTCCCGCGGCTCCTCGCACAGCCCGCGCCAAACGCTCCGCTCTCCGCCTTCGGCCGCGACGGTACTCGGTGCCGCTGCCGGCTGTGCGGTCCCGCGGCCCGCCCCAGCGCCAGCGCCAACCCAGTCTCTGGCTCCGGGGGGTACGCGGCGAGCCGGGCGGCGAGCGAGCGCGCGGAACGCGGACGGCCCCCTGTCCTGCCCCGGTCTCGGCACGGCCGCCCCCGAGGGCTGTGCCTGTGCCGAGAGAGCAGTGTGACAGACACCCGCCGGCGGTAGCGGGAAAGTTGGAAGGGCGGCGGGGAGAGCGTGGGGCAGGGGCCGGCAGCGGGGCGGCACCGCACCGGAGCGCCGGGAAGAGCCGGAGGAAAGCGGCTGGCGGCGGGGCGGGCGACTGAGGTGTACAGGAGGACGGAGAGCGGAGGGAGCTCTGCTGCTGAGCGGAAGGAGGGGCAGGCGGCGACCTGCCGCGAGCAGCCCCGAGCTGCCTCCGCTGCGAGAGGATGCCCGCACGGCTCCGAGGCCACCGATGAGGGTAGCGGGGAAAGTTGTGCGCGCCCCGCCGGGGGGGGGGGCGGAGCGGGGCAGCGCCGGGAGCGGGGCTGGGGGGCAGGCTGCGGGCGGAACGCTGCTCCCTGGCATCCCGGGGGTGGAGGGCAGCGGGAAAGTAACTCGGGAAAGTGAGAGCGATTCTTCCTTATCTCTACTTTCTCTCCTGTGCTGCCGTATTCTCCCTTTTCTTTTTCTTCCTAATCCGAAAGGACCCGTTTGAAAAGGAAGCGACAGCCACCGTGTGCTGACAGGAGAGAGCCGGGAGCGGAGGGCAGCACAGCCGGCACCCCTGTGCTGCCGGGGGGGTGCGCGATCCGACGCGGGGTTCCCTCAGAGGGAGCGTGTGGCGAGGCAGCGGCGGCGGGTAACCGGGACCGGCATGCGGCGGAGAGCAGGAAGGTGAGACGGGAGCGGGAACAGAAACTAACGCCGAAAAGAAGAGGGGGGAAAAAGACGGCGGCTGCGAATTATTTCCAGTGAAAGCGGGTGGATGTGGTGCGGCAACGACTTGGGATTTAGGGGATGCACTCTTGCGCTTGGCTTCTCCTTCGCCCGTCTCCGGTGGCAGGAAGGCAGCGGCGGTACTTGATGGCAGGAGAGGAGGAGGAATAAGCGCGAAGGCTTCGCTGAGCTGTGCTTGCAGTGCCCTGCCGATCTGCTTTAAGATTTTTATTTTTTATTTTCCCCTGGTGGATGTTGATTTCTTGACCTTAATTCTGAGTCCTTTGACGCGCATCGCAGTTTCTGGTTCGTGTTTTTATTACCTTCGGTGAGGAGAGGCAAGAGGGAGGCTGGCTTCGGTGCTGAAAGTTGCACTCGTCCTTCTTTTGGAGGCAGCATGTGCACCAACATAGTGTACGAGTGGCTGAAAACCCTGCAGCTCCCCCAGTACGCCGAGTCCTTTGTCGACAATGGCTACGACGACCTGGAGGTCTGCAAGCAGATCGGCGACCCGGACCTGGATGCCATCGGCGTGTCCGTGCCCCAGCACCGCCGCCGGATCCACGAGGCCGTGCGGAGGCTGCGGGAGGCGGACGAGCGGGCGGCGGGGCTCTACTTCACCCTGGAGCCGCCGCCCGCGCCTCCCGCCAAGGGGCCCCGCCGCCCGCCTGGACAGGACGGGGCGGCCCCCCGACACCGGCCTGGCCGCGGGGGCCCGGTAGTCTACCCGAGGCTGAAGCTGAAGATCATGATCCGGGACAAGCTGGTCCGCGACGGCATCAACCTGAGCAAGCCCCCCTACTCCAACAAGGTAAGGGGCTAAGGGGCTCTTGAGGGGCGGTGGCAGTGGCTGGAGGTCTGCTACTCTGGGCGTCTCCACCAGCGTAGCACCAGGGTGCGGAGCTGCACGCATCGGGGTCGGGGTGTGTTTGAGGCGAAGCACGGTCCGAACTTAGTGCCAGCCTCACATGCAGAGGAGCGGGGCCATGGCCCCATTCACCACTTCAGCTGGGCCCATGTGCTGTGCCTCTGATTGTTGTTGTAAATCGGTTCTTTATGTCCAGTCTGGTCTGCAGTGTGAAGGCAGGGATTGACAGGATAAGCTTCTGGATGTTTCTGGTTTTTCCCTCTGACAGTTTGCCATTGTGTTGGTGAGTGATAGCGTCTCCCATATTTTGATAAAGGTAGTGCTGTAGTGTCGGTTTCTGTTGGTGAAGTGGCTCTTGAAGGAAGCAGTAGTGTGGCTAGTGGAACAACTCCTACAACTCCTCGTCCTCTGTTTATTGACTGAAGGGTGGTAGTGACTGGTGAATGTCAGAAGCATTTGTCAGCTGCTCTGGGTGCAAGTTGGTCTAGGTCTACGAGATGTTTTGCTGAAAGGCAGAAAAGTGAACGACTCCGAAAACTACGTCCCAGTTTGATGAAACCCCAAAATTCATCTAGTTCTTATATTTGAAAAGTTTAAAACATAATAATAACATGGTGTGGAAGTTATATAACTATAACATTAAAAAGACAATGCCGCGAATGAGAAAGTGATTTGTGAAAGAAAACAAGGTATTATGTGATGTGATGTGATGTGATGATATTTCAGAGTTTAGAATGAAGTGTTTCAGCAAGTTGTTTCGTGACCCAAGCTGCCTGCATTCTCTTTGATGATTTGAAGTCTGACTCTTTGGTTGACCTTGAAACTGTAGGTACTTTCAACCTTGGAATTGAAAGTATGGAAGCAAAGCGATGGAGAGGTCTGCAGGACCAGGTTTCTGGAGATGATTATGATTGTGAGAAATTAAAATTGAGAATTAATACCAGCAGAGGACCTGGATGTGAGAATAAAGAGCGAAATCCAACTTGGTTAACAATGTAGAGGTGCACATAATAAGACTTACAGCATAATAAGGCTCTCGGATTTGTACTTCTAAGGGCATGGTGATAGAAGGCCAATGGTCGTTTCTCAAGTGCAGCGCAGCCAAGTGGTCTGAGATATTTGTGTTCACCCTTTCCTGAAACATCTGGCTGATGACATTGTCAGAAACAGTGAATCAAATCTGATAGGATAGTGGTCAAGTCTAATAAAAACACTCTTGAGTGCACATTTTGAAGTCTGAGTACAGCATCTTCTGAAACTTCCTGTGTCATTTCAAAGAGATTTTTTTTCCCTTTGAAGTGATACTTGTTTGGACTGACGCCTGTCTGTAATTGTCATTACCTTTCTAATATAAACAAACTTCTGTAAAAGTTTTTGCTTATTAATGAAGCCACAGCTCATCATCCACCTTTGGAACTATGCTTCACTTCTTCCTTTCAACTTTGTGTGCTCACAGTCACCAATTCCTTCTTACCAGGGGAACCCTCTACCTGTCTTCACTACCTTCTATCTTCTCTATAGGAATTATAAAATTACTGAGATGACAGTGTATGACATCAAGGAAATGAAAATTGTAGGCACTGCTTTCTTCTTTAGCTCACCTTGTTTTAATCTGATGGCTTTGATAGTAGTGCAGGTTAGCTGTCAGGGCAAACTCATCTTACACAGAAATTGTCACTCAGCTTTAATGCTAATATGCTTTTTAAACCTGAATGGAACATTTTGTAGTAGAAGGAGGAGCCAAGCTTAATTTCCTTGTTTTAGTTCATCTTGCAATGCCAGTGTATTTATTTTGGATGGTAAATGCATATTAACATAATTTTTACTTGCAGTAATAGAAAAACTTTCTCCATCTTCTTGGTGTGAATCACTTCAGATTGTAGCATGTTCTAAGAAACCATAAAGCTGGCAAGATCTGAATGTGTGTTGCTCAACATGTGTTACTGTGAATGCCACCCACTGTAGCAATCCATCTTGAAAACGGCTTAAAGGGAATACCAAAAGATCACGTCACTGTGCATTATTCATGTGCAGAACAAGAAAAATGAAATATTTTATTCTTTCATTTGGGAAGGCACTGTATTGTAACCATCTCTTTTTCTAAAGAAAATCCTTTAGAAGACTGTGGCTATGATTTCATCAATCTATATTATATGTTTTTATATGGAATACACACTGTACAGAGTTCTACATGTCAAAAGAAAATAGATTCTCCTCTGCGTAGGATTAAGAGCCATCTTGAGGTTTATCTTAAGTTCTTTGTATGTATTTGTTAAAGGGCATGTCTGTCTGCAGATGGTCATGTGGATATTGTGCACCAGGCATCGAACTTTGGAAGATGGATTTACATTTGTGCCACTGCATGGCTAACCAGCCTTCTCCTTTCTTGCTTATATGGACATACAGCCTTCTGATATTTATGACTGGAATCTAACAAAGAGATGCATGCTTCTGTGTCTGCGTATGTTAATAGTTGTGTACATACGTAGATGCATTTTACTTGTTTCCTGAAGAATGCTTACTGCCTTCAGTTATGTAGTTCTCAGACAATTTTGGAGTTTTATCTGAAAATGACCCTTAGAACTGGAAATGCTGCTGATCCTCTGTCTTGTTTGAAACCTTTTGTGCACGCCTCACAAGATCAAAAATGAATTTTAGGTGTGGATGCTGAGATGTTGAAAGCAGCCCTTTGCTGTCCTCTTGGTGTTGTTGCTGTATTTTCAGATGAAAACCACAGAGTGTGAGGGATTGGAAAGCATTGGCAAGGTAAAGTTTAGTTTGACTTAGCTTGATCACACCCAGAAGAAATGAGTAACACCTACTTAGCACAGCCTAATATAAATCTCTTAAAGATGTGCAGACTTTGAATCCAAGCCATGTGTGTGGGTGACTTCAGACACGGAGAATTATCGCAGGCCATCTTGATTATTTCCATGAGAGCTATAACAAGACCTCACTTCCTCAAATTGAGTCTTCTATATTTTGCAAATATAAACTGAGGAATAGAGTTGCTACAGAGATGAACTCCACTGAGGCTGGATTTTTATTTGAGGTTGGTAATGTTCCTTAATACTCCAAGCCTTCTGTTTCACTTTCAAGCCTGCTGTCTCTGATCAGTTTAGAAGCTTTGTGAATGTAAGAAACGTGTATGGAAGTGAAGGGCTCTCATGCCTTTCACACAACAACCCGCAGTACCACCCCAAGTCAAATGAAACATTTATGTCATCCCAGAACATTTTCTCCTTGGGTGTTGTAATTCTGTGTTTAATTAGGAAACTAATTATGCCTTGTGTAGGAATACTGTTGGTGTTCTTTTGACGTGTAGACATTTTCTGGATGGGTCTGATGGGAGAAGGAAAAAAAAAAAGAAAAAAAAAAAAAAACCCTCAAGCTTCCCATTAAGCTGAACAAAGGAGAGCTCAGCACTGACCTGAGCCAGCTGGAACAAAGACAGTAGAGCCTTCACCCCCATGCAGACACTCTTACCTTGGTGGGCTGGTTGCAAAACAGATTGTCTGTGCTGGTTTCGAGCAGGAATAATGTCACCAAATGTCACTGTGGTGTTTGGAAAGCAGAGGAGCGCCACTTTAGTCAATATAAAGACAAGGAGGATACCTCGTTGTGGAACACGTCAAGAGAAATTAAGTATTCTATTTGTCTTGAATACAGATTAAGTGACATTTAATAGTTTACTGGAATTTCATTACTATTTCTAATTGAAATAAATGGCCTGACCCATTCTTGAAGAATTTTATTCGATTTTAATCTGCAGAGAATTGCAAATGCATTAAAAATGACGGAAAATATACATTCATTAAAAGGTCCCACACCAATTAAAATGATTTGCTTAGCTTCAGTATAGTTATACTGATGTAGGTTTCCATATTTATTAGAGAGAATAAAACTGTGGTGCGATGTTCGCATGGGTGTGTGACTTCATTGCCACTCACTGTGCTGTTTGTGATTATCAGCACGCTTGGAAAACAAGCACTGGAAATTCAGCTGCACTTGAGGTCATAATCTCAAGAGCTAAAGCAGATGTAGAAAAGTAAGAAATCAGATCCAAGTGAGTTATCTCATTAAAAGCCCAACTATGTATTTTTAAGTTCCATGCTGATGGTATGGCACAGATCTGTGTTTCTGATTAAATCTTTGTTTAATCCTCACCTTTATAAAATGAGGAATATCTCGCGTAAGTTATATGCTAAGAAGTGAAGATGCCAGCAGTGCTGCTTTGTAACACAGATTCAAACTGAGTCTGTCGCTGGATAATTTAGTTAGTGATTTAGATAGCTACAGAAATGAATTCAGTGAATTAAAAATATTGCGCTTTGAAGAAATGGCAATGCTCACCCATTCTGGAATTAAACATGAACCTTTTTCTAAAGACCTGGCTGCTTTGAAATAACTGCATCAACCCTGATTAGCAGAGCGTTCTCAAATATGCCTTGGGGAAAGCTGCCTATTGACAAAAGTACTAGTGCATTAAGTAGTAACAATATTTTCATGGCAAAAAATTAGCAAAGCTACAGGCGATATTCAGGGAGTGAAAAGGTATTTTGTACTAGAAAGCAATGTGCCTTTGCCTTTGATTTCGTATCACTGTTGTGTTTTTTGGTTGGTTTTTTTTTTTTTTTTTTTTTTTTTTTTTTTAAGGAAAATATGGCACCTCATATATTGGGCAGTTGTTTCAAAGTCCTGATTTATTAAACTTGCAAACAACAAACCGGAAAGGGATTTCGCCCTAACGGAGCATTAAGGCAAATTGTTGCAGAATATGAATAACGCAGCACTCTGCCGCATTTGCATTTGAATTGTTCCCGAATATTTTAACGTGTATTCAGTCTCCTCTCAAAACATTGAATGGGAATTTTCCTGGGCTTCATTATGTTTCACTTTTGAGGGGAGGAAGATCCCATTAGGGTGTATTAAAGGTGGAGTCCCGAGAGAAGCCCCTATTAGCTTTGCGTAATTTTCCCTCCTTTTGTAGTGCTTTCAGCCCTCCAGTGTATTTTCACAGGTCAGGTTGGGGTGTGGGCTGGATAGGGGAGAAGCGAGGTTAGTGGTCCTGAGCTCGGTGGAAGAGCTGCCTTCCCCTGCAACCAGAAACACCTTCAGCCTGCCTCCATATGGCTTTATATTTGAAGGAGAAGCTAAACTAATATTCCCTGGCAAAAGAGGAATGCCTGCTGGTGTGCATGCATGTGTGTGTGCGCTGCACACTAATGGGCACCACCACTGGGGCAAAAGTCAAACCCCAAGTTTCACTCCTGAATATCCATATAATTGTCTTGTTTTATCTAAGTTTGATGGTTGTGAGCCTTTCTGAGGAGAAAACCCTTTTTAACAAAAAGATTTTTGTTGATGCCGCCCCCAGAGCTTCTGTTTCCTCCATATGTAGGGTGACTGAGCCCATGCTGTTATACAGCCGTGTTTGTGAAATGCCAAAGGAAAACGAAATCTCACAAAGTAATCTCGTGAGCCATGTTTTTAGTTCTGTTCGTTCTGTTTATAGCCAATACCATCATACTGCATCTGCCTTATATGTAGGGCAGCTATGTCCCTCATTTTAGATTGATGAATTTTCCTCGTTGAAGGAAAGTTGGAGGGTTTTCCAAGTCACATGAAAAGTTGTAGACAGGTGAAGTGGTGGGACCAACTACTGCAGGGTGTTTGCCCATTTGTTAACGTTAAATGTGAACTCCCCTATCTGTAAGTAAGAAAAGCAATATCAGAATAAACAGTAGCTTGGATATAATGACAATTAGTTACGCTGTTAATTTTGCCTGTTAACATATGCACACAAGGTATAATTGTTACGAACAGTCCTTACCCACTAAGGTATATAAATCCGTACGCATGATCAGAAACATACCCATAGGTAGGTACTATAGAACCTGTGTAGAATGCCGCAGCGTGATCTGAAGCGACAGGAGTAATGTTAGTGCAGGTTAGCAGAGAAATTACTGCATCAGTTACAGGAGGTCGCTTCCTGTCTTGAGATTCTCCCAAAGCAGGGCAGAGCAGGCTGCGTTGGTAGGTGGAACTTTCGCATTTCTTGCTTTGTCAGTTTGAATGAGACACTTTGCTTTGTGTTTGACAAAGCTATCTCGTTCAATCTCTTTGTCTAGCCTAACATGACACCTCGTGTTGATGTGCTTATCTCGACAAACGCGGTTGCTTGTACACGCTGCAGGAATTGTCATTTCTTAAAAGTACACGCAGCGCTATGTTTAGCAGTGCTGTGTTATTTTGGGAGCAGCTCTGCAGCAGGAAGTGCAGAATTGCTGAACGTTCCCCGACGCTGCCAGGCTGACACACAACTGTCTGCACCGTCTTCGAGTCTGCTAGCTTTGCTACTTGCAGAGTGTAACAAACGTCTCTGAATGCTTTGCAAAGCAAAAGAGAAGTGGTTTGTCAAATGAAACGCAATTGTAGCTGCCTTCAAATAATGCCTTGTTGTCGTTCTCAGGAGCTCAGCAGTATGTGAATTGTGGTGATACATGCCTCTGGACGGAGCCTTGCTCCTCCACTTGGTTTCATTCCCAGTGAAGTCAGTGGGGATTTTGCCAGGGATTTCATTTGATGCTGAGCTTGGCTTGAAGTATTCAAGTCTAAATCAGCTAACAAGTCTGCCCTTACCAGCTTTAATTGTAATGGATAAGAACCGTACAACAGGAGATGACTACAGAAAATATAGCAGTAGAGTGCAAAAAGAAACCAAAAAGTTTCAGAGCTTTAAATATCACCATTAGCAGCTTCAACAGCAGCAAGGCTGACTTACGAATTTAGATCTGACAGTTTTGCTCAGGAATGAATGTTTGGTAACATCTGAAATCTACATTCATGGATCTTGGCTGCAATCAAGTAAACAATTGTTTAAAGTTGTCCTGTCAATAGCTATAAATTAGGAATAAATGGTGTATGTCAAATAAAACTTATAACTGCATACAAATATATGTCTTCCACAAGTTTCTTTTTTTCTCCAGATGAGCTACTTTTGTCATAAGCACCTGCACCCTCAAGGTAGGGATGTGGTGTTATCATGCTGCATATGACCTCAGTGGGAACAGCCCAGTGGGAACAGCTGGGCAGCCTGTGCCTTAACTCTCTCTGAGTAAAAAATTTCTTTGAGTTCTGATGCAGCCGTTCCCTGGGAAAAAAATCTTATTCTTTTTGGTAGAAAGGCTTGTGAGTGCAGGGTAGTGTAATGATGGGAACTGCTTTAACTGCTAAGGGCCATCAGCTGAGCCTGGCCAGCTGCTAGGCACACCCATGCTGGTGGCCTCTGCTCATTTATGGTGCTTTTAAGGGTGAGCAGCAGTTTGGGAAAGATTTGATCAGTTTAGGAAATTTTTCCAGTGGAGTTTACATCATCTACAACACCAGTTGCTGTAAGTAAATGTTATGTGTTTGGAAAAGATTTTGGCAGTAGAAGTAGAAAAAATTTATCCTTAGAGGAAGCTTGAGTCTCTTGTTAAAGGGAGCTAGTACTGATGCTCTAGCAAGTATGTGATAGTGTTGGTACTATGCTTTTTTTTTTTCTTTTAATGTTTCTTACAAAATTGGGTGGTTTTTTTGTAAGCTTTAAGTAGTGGTTTTACTTCACCTACAAGGGAAGTTGTAAAGTGTTTGGTTGTTGTCCCCAGGGACAGCTTCATCATAATTTTGGAAGTTTGCTTGGAAAAGAACTTATATTCTATGTGTAAAAATATTAAAAAGAGCTGCTTATGCAAGTGTGGGATTCATTAACTCAATTTCTAGGATGTCTAACAGGAAATAAGCTATTGCAGTATGTACTTTCTGGATGTCGTGTTTTTTTATAGAAGCCTGAATTTGTTGAGGGGAGTTAATTGCTTTATAGACGTTTAAGTGGGTGAAACTGATGTGGTAGTTAATAGAGTTGACCTGAATTTGGAAAGTAATGCAGATATTCCCTTGTATTGAACGTACTTCTTTTCATGTACATAAGGAACTGAGCACCATCTTTTTAAAAATAGCTTTTTCTTCTTCCTTGTCTTTGTTGTCACATTTGCTACAGAAGGATCTCTCTCTAATTTGGACTTGCTGTACAGCTGGACAGCAACAACTTCATCCCTTTCATTAGTGCTTTCTAACTTCATGATTATCCTTTTTCCTGATATTCTATGAGGCAGTACTTGTATGTAGCCTTCATATACACTGTAGGTTTTAGTTCGTAAGTTTCTAATGTTAGACTTTCAGGATACATTATCTTTAACTGAAGCAGTAGGGTCCTTTCCTTCAAATTACATGAGGTGTTTAAGTTCAATTCTAAAGTTCTAATGCTGGTATTTTTAAGAGACTTGGAGTGATTCAGGTGTTTTCACTGAAGTTTGTTCCTTTATGCAATTCCTCCCAATACTTAACTTGGGTCTTTAGTAGTAAAAGCTTTTTTTTAAAAAACAAACAACAACAACAAAAAAAATCCACATTTGCTTAAGTGGTGTTCTTTCTTCTCTGGTTCCTGCTGAGAAAAAAGTTTTCACTGCAAAGGGCATTGCTCTTGACTACTCCTTATTTATTTTAGTGCACATTTGGCTTGAAAAGTGATTAACTTTCAAGTACTTTTTTGTAGGCTATTTCAGATAGTGATAAACAACTACTATTCAATTAACTGTCTATATCACAGAGATGATGAATAATAAGCAAACAGCAATATTTATGGGTTGTATGGATTTAAAGGCTTACAATCTATGTTAAACACTCTTAAATGTGTTACTTGTTGTCTGTGTCCATTTTTAACCTTTAGGTGATAAATAAGCCTTAGTTTTGGTGTCAGTGTTTCACTGCAATGCTGCTCACATTAACCAGCATTAAAAGAAATGAACTCTAGTGAATACTTAAAACTAAGTCATAGCTGTCAGAGATTTCCTCATCTGATGAACTTCTAGCATTCTGTATTTTGACTGTTGTTTGGCCGTGTGCTTAATCATTGTTGCTTCAGGATGTTTGATCAACTGGTATAAGCAAATATGGCAGCCACTAAATGTAAGTAGGCATGCTTCAGTGAAGCAGGGCTTGTCAGGGGATGTTTGAGTTTAGAAGTTTTTATAGTGCTTTCTAAACAGACATCAGTACTGATATTTCTTGTCTAACCTATAAGAACCTTTGCCTTCTGTGCAGTGGAGTTTTCAAAAGCAAAAGCTTCTCTACACTAAGTTCTGCTGGGTATGTAGACTCTGACCCCATACCATGAGAGATTGTGGATCTTCAGCTATTGATTTTGTTCACAACAAATGAAGTTTTTTTGTTTTTGCACAGAATCTGTAATTCTACTTTCAAAGCAATAAATACAAAAATACAATCACTGTTTCCTGGTCTTTGTCCAATCTTAATAGAAGTAGCTCTTTAAATGTATTTATATTAGCTGGATCCACGTGAGGTTAAATTGATCTGCACCTTTTTTTTTTTCTTGCTCTTCCTTCCCCCTTCTTCCAGATGTGTGAAATAAGCCATAGCCTGTCAAACAGTACAATGAGATTCAGAATGATTTTCCTTTTTTCACCCAGAAACAAAAGAATAAAAAGATGATGGTTAAGATGCTTTTTGGTATATGGAAATAGTTAGAATGAAGGAAATGAAAGAAGTTGATAATTATGGTGTGATTATTTATTTCTTGATTCAGGTTATTTCTTTCAAAAGGACTGTTCAGCCTTAGAATAGAATAATCCCATGTATTAATTATTGATAGCTTACTGGGCTGAAACTGCCAGGTAGAAGCTGAACTTGGAAAGAAGATACAACCTGTAGTAAAGAAATCATAGGAGCAGACATGTCTTTATACTGAGAGGTTTATATAGTGTTATTTTGGAGATGTTTATGCAGAGGTGGAGATAACTCTCAGACTTAGGTGATATGGGGGGATTTGTCTTATTGACGTGTTCTGTTGTGCCTAAAGGTAGAAATTTAACAGGCATTGTAACTAATATTTTTTACTTGTTATCATTTAAAGTGATGTGATTGAAGGAGTTACTGGCTGGCTGTCAACGTGCTCCTTTACATATCTTTCATAATAACTGGTTTCTGCTCTCTCATGATAAGCACATGAATTCTTAGACCTATAAGCTCATTGCTTGTGCCTATGTAGCCATCTTTGTCAGACTGGGAATGAACGACAAGGCCGCAGAGTGCATGCAAATAACAGTGAGGATGTTGGTGTTCTTGTGGTGGTTTTTTTTTCCTTCCCCAAAGCTGCATAAAAAATTTTTAGACCATACGTTTTGAAATACTGTCAGAATCTTTTAAATTCAAGAAGCTGGAAGATAAAAGCTTTTTTATTTTTTTAGAGGGTTCATGTTTAAATCCCAGCTTTGGTTGTTGCTTAGAGAGCTTCCATCTGAAGAACATGTTTGAAAGACTCCTGCAGCTTTACGCAAACTTTTTTTCCTCTGCATGAAGTAGTAGTGCTACGTGGAACTGAACCAGAAGTGTCTATCTCAGAAAAGCAGAGAAAGTAGTGAAATCAGTGCAGGTGTTTCCAATATATTTCCCCTTTCATACCCCTGAAGTTTGGCTAATCTAAGGTTGCTAAAGTTTGTTGTTCTGTTTTGTTTAATAGAGGTTTTGCTCATATGATGCCATATCTACCCAGGGAGTTAGTTGTCCTTCTGATGTTTGGCTAATTGGTCGTACCAACTCTCAGTAATTTTTGTGGTTGAGATACTTGTCAGATCGGTTTAAGCATCTGAATAATAAAATAGGAGTGTTTTCCTCAGACATTAGCTTGACAAGCTGTTTCCTAATTTTAAGTAATGCGACTCCTGTAATCTTATTAATCCTTGATGTGGTAAGATGTCTTTACTGTTAAATTTTTTTTTTAGCATCTTATCTAATTTTCTGTGTTACAACTCATTCTGTTACTTCTTGTTATGTCTTCTGTTAGCAAGGTTTAGATTTTTGAGGGCCCTGCTGAATCCTACCCAAGTGTCTGACAATTAATGGTCCATCCTTTTTTTGTTTGTTTGTTTTTGGAGGAGGGTGTGCAAATAACCCTTTTAGTATTCTTTCACTCAATGGTCTGAAGAGGTCTGTGGCCTTGCTGGTGTAGGGCAGAGCATTGGTTATCCCTTTGTGCTTGTAATCTTTTTTGTAACGCTTACATTGGTGGCTCCTGCCTTGAGTCTACAGCAGTCTTTGAGCCCTTTAGGAGGGAGAGCTAGCCATTGTTTGTGTATGTAATGATCCATATCCTGTTGTACTTTTGCTGTTATGTGACTGCTGAATAACATCCTTGTATGATCAGACTCCCTCCATTTCAAGAATTAATGAATTTTTAATGAATGAGTATGAATTCAAAGGCCAGCCTCTTGTGCATTAATGCTCCAACAGGTTGAGTGTGTCCCACTGATATGAAAATATTTTCATTTTTACCATCCATGTTGGTACTGAACATGATCACTGTGCTGGGAGCAGTCCCCTGGAAGATTTCTTATTATAACTCTTCAAATTTTAGTCTTACGCATTCTGTAGGTAGAGTTCTGCAAATATTTTGTACCAGTTATTTGCATTTGACCATTCTTTCCTAGTTTGTTAGTATGAATGTCCAGTGAAAAGTTATCAGAAGGCTTTCTGAAATCAAGATTAGTGGCACCTAGTTAGATCTTCTACGCTGCGAGTTTCCTTGTCTGATATAGAAGGTGATTGTGTTGACTTAGCATAATTAATTCTTCATAAGTCTGTGTTGTCCATTGTTTTGTCACCTCTTGATTTGTGGAAACAAAAGCATTTTTATGTGTGAGGAGGGACCAACAAGATTTTCTCCACATGACATAATAGTTTCATTCCAACAAACACAGGTTTGTTTTATCTTCTGTTGTCTTTCTGCATCAAGTCACTGCTCTTCATGACTGTTAAAGCAGGACAGTGTGCTTTCTTGACACACAGCAGCCCATCTCCTTGAGTGCTTTCCAGCGTTTCCTGCTGTCCACTTCCCTCCCCACTCCATGCCACTGGTCTAGTTGTGGCCATCACTCTATCTAGCCTGTAGGTGAACTCCTCTGTTTATGCCAATAAGATCCATTGAGCACAGACACTTATGTCTGTTTTGTTTCAGTCACTGCTGCTGGTTTACTAGTGGAAGTAGGAGTCAAGAATATTTCTGTGCTGGCCTGATCTAGTTCTTCATCTAGCAGCCTGTGGTGGGGGGAGCTGGAACTTATGATCCTTGGGATCCCTTCCAATCCAAGCCATTCCATGATTCTGTGGTGCCTAGGGAGTGTAGATCCATTGGTACTACATGAATGTGCATGTGCAAAAGTGAGGTCTGCAAAGGATAAGCCTTGAGACACCTGTATAAATCCCTTCATGGGGAGTGCTTTGTGTACTTTGAATGTGGCCAAGGATTTGACCTGATGCATATTAATACTGTATGTTATCAATCCTATAGTTCAGTACTCAGCTGAAGAAAACAGCAGTGTGCCTTGATCACAGATGAATCAGGATTAAATTTCTAAACCTTCAGACACATTTTTATTCCGTGTTAGTCTGGCTCAAGTGTAAACTATATGAAACTCTTTCCCTACTGGACATGTCATGTAAAAATTAATGTCTGTTCTGTGTATTCCCTGCAGGCACACTGACCCAACTTAGGGTCACAAGGGGTAGGACTAATGTTTTTATTCAGTCAGTCCTTTGCAAGTATTTCATCCTCTGTGAGTGACAGTGGACTGGCTTATTCCAAGAAACTACTTCTTTTCTGCAGTTTTTCTTGCATCAAGACCTCACAGTTGATTATTTTGCTGTATTTTATGTGGTATCTCAGTGACAAAGGCTTCAGCGTGGCCTGCTGTACAAGTATGAGCAAGTGAATGACTGATACAAGAATAGAATTACAGGGCATACCACAGCTTTCATTCTGTATAGGAAAATGCTATTTTCTTCTTAGTTGTGCATCTTGCTGCTATGCTATTTTGCTAGAAATTCAGATTCATGCTTCTAATCCCTAAGACTTCCATCCTTTTTTAAATCTACCTAACTTTTCCCTTATGTGGTAGTGAAGTCTTTGTAAATCTCTTCTGCTATCAACAGCAGTTCAGAAGCGAAACCTCAGATAAAATTATTTCTGAAGAATTACTTTTTATTTATTAATTGCATAATGGCCATAAGTTTTGAACGTTTGTGTACTGTAATGCTGCAAAAGGCAGAAGTGAGCACTTGACTATGACACCTGAAGCATTTGTCCTGACAAAAATTAATCATTGCATGGCCATTAAAAAAGTTCTCAGTTGTGTGTTGCAATCTGAAATGTAGCTTTTGTAATAAACTGGGGAGGGGATGTCCTGTTGAAAGGATGTAGGTTCTTGAAATACCTTGGAGAGTTTAAATGCACAGGCAAGAGAAGACCAGAGCTAAGTGATGCTTGCATTTCTTGAAGCCTCAGCAATGGAAGGAAGAGATCAGGAAAAGAATCTGTTATCCTATGACTGTCCCTCTGTTGTGCTATGCTTCTTATTACCTACTTGCATAATTGGCAGATTTTCCTGTTAATGCAGTGGGAATTCATTTAGAGTTCTTAAGTGTTGTTTGCGTTATTGTTATAATGGACTGAATATGTTTTGATTCACAAGTGCTGATCTTTATGCTAAGAGAGCAAGCTGTATCATCTTGGAGACCCAATTACTCAAGCATACATTTGTCTACACATAACTCTGTGAAGGTGCCTTGAAGATTTTATTTCTAAAAAGGTGGAAACGTTGTTAAATAACACTGCTGTAACCCACTTTCAACACAGTGTTCCTGGAAGCAAACAGTTCAGTGTATTCCTTTTAAGGTAGAAAATTTTGCATGGTTGCTCCTGGCCTGGAAATTTTGGAAATCTGGGAAGTAATTAAGGGGAAACTATATACCAGGAACATGATTTTTTTTTTTTTTTTAGTTTAAAGAGTGGTTCTTCAGCTGTGACTGTGGTAATCATAAGTATGATGTTGTAGCCTCATCCTGAAGCAATTTATGCAAAGAAGTTGGAAAAAAGTATGCTTTCTACTTTCTTCTGTTCAAGTTTTCTCTCTGGAGGTTTCACAGGATGGATCTGTAAATTGTCTCTTAGTGATTTTGCAGTGTCTGATAGAAGTCTTCGTAATTTAGGGAAAGCAAACCAGAGAAACAAAGAAAGATTGCCTACATTAAAATAAACTTTGGTGACCAGTGGAAGCAGGCAATGACATCAGTCTGTAGCTCTGGAAGAATCCATCTAAGAAATTTGTCTATTTCTTCTTGATAGAAAACCTCATTAAGGTCCTCAGCTTCTCCTTTTTTGAAATAGGTGCTATCTTCTGCTTCCCAATCCACACTTAGTAATGATTTATTACTTATTTTTAAAAAGTGATGACTTTTAGCTTAAATAAGTTGCAGTGAAAAACCAAAACAAACAAAAACAAAACAAAACAAAAAAACAAAAAACAAAAAACAAAAACAAAAACAAAAACAAAACAGTGCCTTTCTACTTATGTTGAGTCTCCATCATGGATGCATCTACACAGGTAGAGATTAATTTGATGCAAGTAGTAGTTCCCTTTCAAGAAATATTCCAGATGAACCAGCATTATGAGAGCAGTCATCTCTTTTATGTCTTTGCTCTGTCAGCTGAATCAAGAACAGCTCTTCCAGTCTCTTCTGGTAAATTGGGCTGCCCAAGTCTACGAATATTCTGATACCTCTTTTCTGCAAGCATTTAAGTTTCTCTTATTCTTATTTTTGAGGTCTGCTTTTGTGGAGTTTGAAACATTAATATTTAACATACCTAAAAAGAATTTCCTGTTGTGTGTTGTTTAATTTCTGATTTCCCTTCCTAGGAAACTAATACTTTTAGAAGATAATATTCTGTTTATTAGCAAATAAAGGCAATGCATGCACCTCTACTACTGATGGCTTTATTTGTTTTATTTTTTTTTTTAATATCACATAGAGTGGCATTTTTTGTGAAATTTTTTGTGATTCTTAACATTTTTAACGTTTTTATTATTATTATTCTTTTTTTACTCTAAAGTACTCTGAAATTAACTACTGTTGTCACTGCAGCCAACACTCTGTTAAAGTAAATGTTTTTAAAGTCAATTCTGCAGGGCTTCAATTCTTGGCAACAAAATAATTTTGAACACCAGTGTAGAAATTTATGGATTTCAATTATAGCTTGCACTGTATCATAATTCCAGTTTTATGCCCTGTGCAGTTCAGTGTTTTGGATTTCTAATGGGTATAGAGCAGTAATCATAAAAGTGATTCAAATGCAGCCAGTAATTACAGAGATTTGCTGTTGCTTTTGCATTAAAAATGATGATGATTTACAATCAACAAAATTGCAGTCTGTGGTTTTAGTTAAGATACTCGTGCTATTACACTGCTTATTAGTTATGGTCAGTGATTTAAAGCGCAAGAGCTACACGTTAGAAGGCAGTAAAATTATTTATTCTTTCATAGAAGATAACAATAAATTAAAAACGACATGATATTAATACAAATCTTGCACATTAAAGAATACATATGTAACCCTTTGTATCTTTTGCTGCTGGAAATTAATTATAACTAAGGTGAAGTAGTTGGTTTGCAACAGCTAAAGTCGTGTGTGTATATATGTATAAATAAATAAATATATATAAAATTTCCCCTTTATAGTTTCTGTTACATCCCATTAACTTTAAGAGAAGCTGCCAGACTTGCTTCTACCAAGCAAATGATGTAAGCAAGCCCTTTTCTTCTTCACTTCTACTCATGCTACAAAAATCATATTTAAGATGGATATGCATTATTGAAAAGGTAGGTAATGCAGTGAAGTCACAAGCATTTTAAAATTCTGTATAGAGAGAGAAGGCATATCTTACCTGCAGATTATTTTTTACATACCTTCATAGTAAGGTAAGAATGTAGTAGGTTTTTGTTCATGTTCATTCTTTGTGTTCTTCCTTTCACAAATAGTTCTTCTTTTCTGATATTTTGGTGCATGAAGAGTGAAGGACAACAGATTTGGGATGCATTGCTTATGAATTAGGTTTTATGTTTTGGACTTAAGAGTCAAAACTAGCTTAAGAAAAACACATTTCTTTAAAATGTTCAAAAATATTAACATAAACAGCACTTTCCCTTCTTATTAAACCTGGATTTTAACTGAGATAAGACAGGTGCTCAAGTACATTAACAGTCAAGTCACGATGTAAAACATACTGGCATAGTTAATGATTATATAGCTGTTGGTTGAAAATGCTAATTGAAAAAATTGACTAAGGAAGTTCCCCAGCTGTTGAATGAGAGTGTTCTTTTCAAGTTCTCATGGAAAGAATGACTTTTTTATTTTTGACCAATCCCATCGCTAAGTTTACAGTAGTTTATTTTAGCTTGTGCTTTATCGTTGGATAGGTGGCTGAAGTTTTAACTATTTTCTTGCTTTTATTCAAGTCAGTGGGGATGAACCTTTTTTTGGTGGTTTGCAGCAATAGAGCAAGGACTACAGGCACAAACTGGAACACAGGAAGTTCCATGCAAAGGAAAAACAGTCAGTATTGGAGTGACAGAGCACTGTAAGAGGCTCCTCAGAGAGGTTGGGCAGTCTCCTCTGGAGATACTCAAGACTTGTCTGGACACCAACCTATGCCACCTGCTGTAAGGAACTGCTTTAGCAGGGAGTAGGACACGGTGATCTCCAGAGATCCCCTCCAGCCCCTACCATTCTGTGATTAACAGCTGTATTCACCTTATATTGGCAAAAAAAAAAAAAAAAAAAAAAAGCTAAACTGCTGACCTCTGGAAATTTTCCTTGTTAAAACTCTTGCCCTGCAGCAGAGAGCACCTCTGTACTGGCTGCTGCAGGATAGGAATGCTGAGGTTCTTTCAGTGGCATACCTTATTTAGGTGGCTATGATAGGATAAGGCAGGTTGAATAGGCAAGTTAAAGTAGCAATGCAGTTTTATCCCCATAAATGATTTGAGCATTCGTAAATGCAAGGCAGGGGAGATAAAACTCAAGTCTTTGACTAAAAAGAGCCTTTTTATCTTGAGGGAGACTACTGGCTATTTTCTGATGAGTCTGTAAAATGTTTCTTTTGGATTTTTCCAAGTGAGCTTTTAGTGCTTGATGAAATTGAACCCAGGTTTACCTGCAGAATCTCTTCGGTCTGTAATGGTAGCCTCATCTTTCCAGGTCTCCTTGTCCTCTTCTTTCTCTCTGGGAGACTTGAACCTCTGGCTGATATTCGTCCCTCTGTTTCTGCAGTTGATCTCTGGTGTATCTGTAAATCCAGGTGAGTTTCTTCAGTGAAGGCAGCACACCTACTCCTCAAGTCCAGCGACTGATGTCAGGGTCAGGAGGAATTTGCCCAGGAGCTATGTGCCCTGATGCCCTCACAGCTGCTCCATCAGGTTGCATTCCTGAATAATTGAAGATGCCTTTAGCCAAATCAGTTGTTAACTATTTTAACTACTGTAATTCAGTGAATGCAATGAAAGTACAGAGTCTGAAGCAGAATTAGTCCTTCATTTTACAAGCAGTTTAAACTGACTGTGGGGAGGCTGTCTTTTTTTTCTTTTTCTTTTTTAATTTGAAAGTGCTACCTCCCTTTCTTGCAGAAGTGCACATGCAAGAAGTCATCTTTCTGTGAGAAGGATTAGTTTTGATTTTTAGTCCAGTTTTATGGGAAAGTCCACAGTCATGCAAAGACTGGAGGCCCGAGTCTGGAGATGGAACAGAAGCGGAAATGAGGCCTGGGAGGATTCAAGACTTCCTTTCTTGTCAGGGTTTATCTCTGCCTCTTCAAAATGCTGCTTTCTGTCTTTGTATGCTGTGTGTCTGCATTTCAGTGTTTCATAAGCAGGAGTTCTTCAGCAAAGTGTTAACCAGAAAGGGCAGTGCGTGATGATGAGAAATGGCCACAGTAGAGTTCTTGGCTCAAATTGGCTCTTCTTCAGTTTACTGAGCATTCAAACCAGGTTTCACATTAGCTGTGGACTTGCAGAAATAACGTTGTTGCTCGGAGTTTATCCAGCAGTCTCCACTCTGTATAGAGCGGATAGTGCTGGATGGGTTAAAACTTACTGCTCATAATTGAGTGGTTTCTCTGTTTAGACTCAGTTTTGTGTCATACAGGAAGGACAGAAAAAGTAAGACCTTAAGTTCCCACTATGTCTGTAAAGCACGAACATCTGCTGGAATCATGAACTGAGCACTGACTGTGTTTGGTAACAGGGCGAAAGCAGCTGATCACAAGCGTCCTTTTCCTAATTGCTTTGTCAAATGTCACTGCGGTTCCATGCAGGGAAAGGAGATATTTCCTTAGTGACAAGGAAATAAGATAAACAGCAAGCAAAATTGAAATAGACTTCCAGTTTGCTGTTGCTCTTAGGTGTATTTAATCATAACTGTCATTCATCACGTTGAATTCTTTTTTTCTTTCTTGCTAAGAACTTGGTGCCTTTTTTCTACTGAAACATGTGGTCTGGGATTTTTGTTTTAAAATCTACTGGCCTTTCACCTTTCCAGTAATTACTGGAAATGAATATAGGTCAGAGTTTGTTTGGATGTTCTTTCTGCTGCTCCCATTTTCTCTAGCCTTATGCTCACACACCCCAATATTGATGTTTTTATCTTTTTTTTTCTCTTTTGAATGACATCTTAATGAGTACTTTTATGCAACAAGAAGAGAGCATGGTATACTTGACTCTTGTGAACAGCTCACCATAGTGCGTAAAATGGTCAGACTTCAAAAGAATCTCTAAATTGGAGCTTATGTTTGAGACTTATGGCCCTTCAAGGGACAGTAGTAATCCATAGCTAATCTTCATGTTGGCAAAACCAAAGGCATTTTTATACGTACTTCAGTGTTAAAAATGTATTCTACTCCAAAAGGGATTGAATATATAAGCCAGAAGTGTATTGTATTACACAAGCTATGTATTGATCCTTCAGCTTGTGAAGCTCAAATAAAGAATCTGTAGTCTGTAATGCAAAATAGACCCATGACTATGTAACAGTCACAATATCTGATATTTGTGAAGGCTAGAATTGGACCTGTCAGATTAAATCTAGTTAGTTGATAGCGTGTTATGACAGGTTAGACTTGAGTGTTGACTAAAAAATCCTGTTGAGAGTTTCCTGGGCAGCAAGGCAGGTTAGACTTGTGCTGTCCTGGGGCTGAGTTAAATCTTTCTGTTAAGCACTGCTACTGCGTCCCCTGAGCATTTTTGGCTCTGTGGGAATATGAGACAGCAGCAGTTTCCTGTGCAAAATAACTCACTGCAGCTGCTTATTAACACTTGCTGTAAAAGTGGCTGTTTTCCTTCAGTTATGCTGAATAATGTTAGCCTTTTCAGAAGAAATATTCTAAAACCGGCTGCATTTACATGCATTGGCTGAAACTACCTAATTAGTTTAATTGACATAATTAGCTAAAACTTCATTGTTCTGCAAAGTTAGACTGTTAGGTGAGCCTTTGGGCTCGGAATGGGTACCTGTCTTTAACTACTGTAGGCAGGGATGTGCTGTTTGTTTATTAATTAATAGCAGAAGAAAGCACAACATGGAATTCATTGAATGTTCTGTTGGGTTAGATTTCTCACCAAAGATTATTTTTTTCTGTTGGAGACTTGCATTAAGATTACATGAACTTTTATTTGCACAGATGTTCCTGTGACAAAAACAAAGCATGAATTTGAATTAAATTGCAGTGGCTACGTGTAAAATTAGAATGCAGGCGTGTAGGGTAGCTTAACATAGCTTATCAACAAAAGAAAAACAAAAACACCTTTTGTAACTTTTTAAATGATAAATTCCATGTAGCTTGTGTTCTGTTTTTCTTAATGTGAGTGATGAACACTGAGGAACACGCACAGTGGAAGCTGCCATGTTCACTGCTGTTTCAGTTCTGGCCCACTCATTTTGCTGGCGGTGGTGTACCTTGTCTCTTGCATATGGGCAGCACTTCTGAATATTTCAGACTGTATGCTGTCACTGCAAGTACCTGTACCAGACAGGTTGGAGGGGCTGCCATCACCACGTGGGTAGATGCTGGCCTCAAACTGTCCAAGGGATTCTGCCTGTGTGATTTTTGTCTGACGGTAATAAATAGGGTTGGGAATTTATCTGGATGCTCAAAAAATGAGGGGCGAATTTGTCCCTGCTGTAATATGCAGAACTTCTATGGAGCAGCTGTAAGTTGAGTCTGGTGTGCTCTGTTTTGTACTTGTAAAAGCAGTAGCAGCGAGGTGAGCAATATTCAGTAGAAGAAATGTAGATTCATGCTTCAGATGCCTTAAATTACGCTAGGGTGTTTTGCAGATAATAGTGTCCCAGAACAGGTTTATGAGGGCTTTAGGAAAATTGATGCACTGCATTCTTTGCTTTTGGGTTAATTCTTTAACTATTCTCTGTATAGCTACAGTCATACATGTCTGATTCTTGTTGAACTGGAGTTTTCTTTCCATTGCCCTAAAATAGGCTTTGTATAACAGTCCTTTTATATGATTTATGTAATGATCTGCAGAAGTCTGAGTAAGGAGATCTTGCAGATTTTCCTCTTACTGTGTTGTAAATGATCAGTCTATGCAATGTGTAACATTTTCAGTAAGAATAGAGTACCAAAGCAGATGCATCAGACCAGCAACCATCATGCTGAGCTTTGTATGAGAAAGGTTTGAAAGGGAAGTAAGGAATTTTGGCAGTTACTTTTTTCATAATTTTTAATTGAAACAAGGATAATAAGCAATAAAGGCTGTATGTATTAAATGCATTGCATCAACTGGCTTGTACTTGCACAATGTCAAGTGTGAAATTAAAACTGTCTTGTGATTATAGTAAATGCTAGTATAGTAATGGTTAGTATATTGGCTCTTACAGAAATCATGCTGTAACTTATCTCTGTAGTAGGTAGTAAATGCTTTATTTCAGTGACTGTCCTAAAATAATGAAAACGTGCAATTTTAGAGGCTCATTTGTAACCGTATACACTTGTGACTGATCAGTCCTAGCACACATTCGGTACTGAAGCTTACCATGAACGTTTATTTTTCACTCAAAAACCTTGTCTCTCATAAGTGTTATTTTATCTGTGGGAGCTTTTGCTTCAGCAGCACTACTTTTTTTTCCAAAGAACCTTGTAGATAAATGATGAGTGTATACTAGGGGCCATATGGGTGGAGAAGTGGTGTTGAAAGCCAGAGTAATTTATTACAATCAGCTTGTTCCTGGAACAGGTGAGGTAAATCATTAGTTGCCAAGGACATCTCATGAGTGAGCAGAGATGCAATTCATTAACTGAGTGGGGGGGAAAAGTAGGCCACAACTTTAATCTTCTCTCATCTCAAACATAAGTGTGTGAGTTACAGGAGAGTGGTACTAGGATGCTGAGAGAAGACTTTGTGGGTGTCTTTTTTCTTGTTTTGTGAACTTACATTGCTTTGAGCTACTAAGTTTTATTTGTTCTGATACACAAATGGGCTTTTCAGAGGACGTTTTAGGATTGTGATTCCGTTTATTCTTTTTATCTGATTCCAAAAACTATTTCTAATCCTAATACTTCAGAAGCCTGTGGCTTCCTTTGTGCAAATTTTTAGAACAGCTGCTGTTAAACTTAATTGGACACTAGAGCTAGTAGGTTTTTTTCCTGAAAATATTTTAGTGAAACTGTTTTTGATTAAGAGGTCTGATACTGCAGCATTATGAGAATGGAATGTTTCACAACAAATAGCACCATTTGTTGGAGTCAAAAAAAAATAAAAATAAAAATTAAGTGGTCCATCTAAAGTACTATATTTAAATAATCCAAAAGAATTTTTGTTGTTGTTTTTTGTTCTTTGTGGTGGTGAGATTCTCATTTTCCAGAAAAGAGTCTCCTAAGTTGTAGTTTCCTAGTATGAAATAGAAAAACAGCTGGTGTTGATGTGGGACTCATAAGCTATTGAATTTGTGAGCAGGAAGAAGGGAACATGAAGGCAATCCAAGAGAGTCAGTATGAGTTTATTCTCTGCATTTCTGGGAACAAAGAAGGAAGTGTTGTCAAGAAAAAAGAATACAAAGACTGGTAAGACAAAAGTGTAGGTTGTTACAGCCATTATATACCAAAGTACCAAATGTAGGACAAGCTGGATTATGATTGTGTCTAGCGGGAATTTGTTTCATATTTATGGGAATTAAAGAAGCTGTGGCCTGCCACACTAACTGATAGTTATCTTTGACTTGTTTGAACTGTGATATCTAAATGTCTGATAGGAATGACTTTGG